TCCATCAGAACTAAATTGGAGCGGTAATGGCCAGGCTCACAGCGACATATCAGTTAGAGATAGGAATTCATCTTAATGTGTACCGAAATTTAGGTTTGGGGGCAAAATCAATATGTGCCAACCAATCAGTCGAATCAGTAACGTTTCTAATCAGACATGGTAATCCATGCAAGATCATGTATGATACAAATGGTTGACATCAGAGATAGCAGGGGAGAAAGATAGGGACAGAAACAGAGAGGAGATTACAAAAGGGGAACTGCAGCAGGAGGTGTTGATATTTTGGGCAAGAGAGACTGTATATCAGTGGTTGATATTTGGGGAAGAGAGAGTGGTGTGAAGATGTAGACTGTTCAGCAGGAGGGGCTGATGGTGGAGAGAGGGGGATGTAGACTGTTCAGCAGGAGGGGCTGATGGTGGAGAGAAGGGATGTAGACTGTTCAGCAGGAGGGGCTGATGGTGGAGAGAGGGATGTAGACTGTTCAGCAGGAGGGGCTGATGGTGGAGAGAGGGATGTAGACTGTTCAGCAGGAGGGGCTGATGGTGGGAGAGAGGGGATGTAGACTGGAGAGGAGGGGCTGACTGGAGAGAGCAGACTGGAGGAGGGGCTGATGGTGGAGAGAGGGATGTAGACTGTTCAGCAGGAGGGGCTGATGGTGGAGAGAGAAGGGATGTAGACTGTTCAGCAGGAGGGGCTGATGGTGGAGAGGGGATGTAGACTGTTCAGCAGGAGAGGGGCTGATGGTGGAGAGAGAGGGATGTAGACTGTTCAGCAGGAGGGGCTGATGGTGGAGAGAGGGATGTAGACTGTTCAGCAGGAGGGGCTGATGGTGGGAGAGAAGGGGATGTAGACTGTTGGCAGGAGGGGCTGATGGTGGAGAGAAGGATGTAGACTGTTCAGCAGGAGGGATGATTGTGGAGAGAGGGGATGTAGACTGTTCGGCAGGAGGGGCTGATGGTGGAGAGAGGGATGTAGACTGTTCAGCAGGAGGGATGATGGTGAGAGAGAGGGATGTAGACTGTTCAGCAGGAGGGGCTGATGGTGGAGAGAAGGGGATGGTAGACTGTTCAGCAGGAGGGGATGATGGTGGAGAGAGAGGGATGTAGACTGTTCAGCAGGAGGGGCTGATGGTGGAGAGAGAAGGGATGTAGACTGTTCAGCAGGAGGGGCTGATGGTGGAGAGAGAAGGATGTAGACTGTTCAGCAGGAGGGGCTGATGGTGGAGAGAAGGGGATGTAGACTGTTCAGCAGGAGGGACTGATGGTGGAGAGAAGGGGATGTAGACAGCTCAGCAGGAGGGGCTGATGGTGGAGAGAAGGGGATGTAGACTGTTCAGCAGGAGGGGCTGATGGTGGAGAGAGAAGGGGATGTAGACTGTTCAGCAGGAGGGGCTGATGGTGGAGAGAGGGATGTAGACTGTTCAGCAGGAGGGGCTGAAGGTGGAGAGAGAGGGATGTAGACTGTTCAGCAGGAGGGGCTGATGGTGGAGAGAGGGGGATGTAGACTGTTCAGCAGGAGGGGATGATGGTGGAGAAAGAAGGATGTAGACTGTTCAGCAGGAGGGGCTGGAATTTGACTGCCTTACCACTGCCGGTTGTGATTCTTCAGTCTGTTGCAGAATACTGCACACACCTTATTGACGTTATTGAGATCATTCTTCCATGAACTTCTTGCAATGAGACCCTGGAGAATCCTTTTCTCTCATGTCATTAAAGGTCAATGGTTAAGGTCATGCGAGAGAACATTGCATTTATCCTTGATGCCCTGCTATGAAAGATTTTGGTGGAGAGAGAAGGATGTGGAGAGAGAAGGATGTAGACTGTTCAGCAGGAGGGGCTGATGGTGGAGAGAGAAGGGGATGTAGACTGTTCAGCAGGAGGGGATGATGGTGGAGAGAGGGGGGTGTAGACTGTTCAGCAGGAGGGGCTGATGGTGGAGAGAGAAGGATGTAGACTGTTCAGCAGGAGGGGCTGATGGTGGAGAGAAGGGATGTAGACTGTTCAGCAGGAAGGGCTGATGGTGGAGAGAGAAGGGGATGTAGATTGTTCAGCAGGTGGGACTGATGGTGGAGAGAAGGGGATGTAGACAGCTCAGCAGGAGGGGCTGATGGTGGAGTGAAGGGGATGTAGACTGTTCAGCAGGAGCTGCTGATGGTGGAAAGAAGGGGATGTAGACTGTTCAGCAGGAGGGACTGATGGTGGAGAGAAGGGGATGTAGACTGTTCAGCAGGAGGGGCTGATGGTGGAGAGAGGGGGATGTAGACTGTTCAGCAGGAAGGGATGATGGTGGAGAGAAGGACAAAAAGATTGTTCTCTCTGTATATTGTCCTTTTATTTCAGTCCTGTCCACAAACGTTTGATATATTCACTGCTCAAAACATAAAACTGAACATTTTTCCTTCATAATACAATTTCCTGTTTGAGATGTGTTTTTGATGGATAATAGAGGGTTGATATTTCGTAATTCACAGCCCCTTGAATCAAGACTGTTTCATAGTTTTGTTGGAATTTGACTGCCTTACCACTGCCGGTTGTGATTCTTCAGTCTGTTGCAGAGTACTGCACACACCTTATTGACGTTATTGAGATCATTCTTCCATGAACTTCTTGCAATGAGACCCTGGAGAATCCTTTTCTCACATGTCATTAAAGGTCAATGGTTAAGGTCATGCGAGAGAACATTGCATTTATCCTTGATGCCCTGCTATGAAAGATTTTGATTAAGATCACATTTATCCTTGAGGCCCTGCTATGAAAGGTTTTCATCGAGATCAGTGTATGAAATAAGCCAAACACCCAGCCAGACATCAGGGCTGGTAACTTCAAAATGGTACCAGCCCAAAATGGATTTAACCAGACCAAATATGGTGAATTTACTCAGATATATGGAACATCTGCAATTTTTACCAGACCATCGGGCTGGCTAGCTGTAAATTTAGACCGTCTGTCAGAAATCTAGACCATCTCGGGCTGTCGGACAGGCCTTATTTCATACACTGTCAAGATCACAGTTATCTTTGAGGCCCTGTTATGAAAGGTTTTGATCAAGATCACATTTATCCTTGAGGACCTGCTATGAAAGGTTTTCATCAAGATCACATTTATCCTTGAGGCCCAGCTATGAAAGGTTTTGATCACGATCTCATTTATCCTTGAGGCCCTGCTATGAAAGGTTTTGATCAAGATCACATTTATCCTTGAGGCCCTGCTATGAAAGGTTTTGATCAAGATCACATTTATCCTTGAGGCCCTGCTATGAAAGGTTTTGGTCAAGATCACATTTATCCTTGAGGACCTGCTATGAAATGTTTTGATCAAGATCACATTTATCCTTGAGGACCTGCTATGAAATGTTTTGATCAAGATCACGTTTATCCTTGAGGCCCTGCTATGAAAGGTTTTCATCAAGATCACATTTATCCTTGAGGCGCTGCTATGAAAGGTTTTCATCAAGATCACATTTATCTTTGAGGCCCTGTTATGAAAGGTTTTGATCAAGATCACATTTATCCTTGAGGACCTGCTATGAAAGGTTTTCATCAAGATCACATTTATCCTTGAGGCCCTGCTATGAAATGTTTTGATCACGATCTCATTTATCCTTGAGGCCCTGCTATGAAATGTTTTGATCAAGATCACATTTATCCTTGAGGCCCTGCTATGAAAGGTTTTGATCAAGATCACATTTATCCTTGAGGCCCTGCTATGAAAGGTTTTGGTCAAGATCACATTTATCCTTGAGGACCTGCTATGAAATGTTTTGATCAAGATCACATTTATCCTTGAGGACCTGCTATGAAAGGTTTTGATCAAGATCACATTTATCCTTGAGGCCCTGCTATGAAAGGTTTTGATCAAGATCACATTTATCCTTGAGGACCTGCTATGAAAGGTTTTGATCAAGATCACATTTATCCTTGAGTGACCTGCTAAAAGGTTTTGATCAAGATCAATGGCTATGGTCAGCTTTCATTTATTATAGAAAAATTGTTGTATAACTGTCATACATGGATGCATCATGCAAACATAGTACTTCCTTACATGTCTGCATGTCAGTAGACAAATCCTAGCATAACCTTATGTTATTGTAATGTTTCATGAATATTCTGGAAAGATGAGTTGAGGATAACCTACAATGAACTTATTCCACATGGACCTTAGCAACGTGTTTGGCTGCCATGATATGATCATGGTCAAGAAAAACTCAAGTGTTTGTTGTTACACCTTCTCAGAAAGTGTTGTTGCATTTACCATTACGCTTGCATGTACATTCTGTAGAACGGGGGAGCGCTGGGGTAGCGTTATGGTTGAAGCGTTCATTCATCATGCAGAAGACCCGGGTTTGATTCCTCACATGCATGGGTACAATGTGTGAAGCCCATCTCTGGTGTCCCCCCACTGTGATATTGCTAAAACCATACTCACTCACTGTAGAATGGAACCATGCTCTGAAGAGGTTTTGGTAAATAAGGAACCAAAACTTAAAGTCAGCATTCAGGGTTTGGTGATATAGCTGTAAGCTTCGGAGGTATGGCCATCTTCTCAAGCATGACACTCATCAGGAGTGCACATTAGAATGGTTCTCAACAAGAGTCCACCTGATGAATTGGGTGGTCTGGTAGCTAGAATATTTCCGAGCATGACTTTAAACAATAAGCACATACATTCTTCAAGCATGATAGTTGGATATATCTTTGCAGTGGCATATATCTTTACAAATACTTTGACACGACATGTTGGTGCCATGTTTATCAGTCGAAGTTATAAGAGGTTATTATGAAACATGGTTGTGTCAACCACTGGCATTTACAGTTGAAGTTTAACTTGTGCAATCATGAGAAGATCAAGGTCAAGGCTGGAAATATGTGATGATATATTTCAGACTTTAGAAGTTTTTTAGAAAACAGTGGTGACAGGTTTCAAGTACCTGCAAACACCTCTTGCATGTGTAGCAGCATCTTTCATCTTCATGTTGTTTAATGGTTCTTCTTTATTTGCAGGTGCCTACAAGAGCCACTTGTTTGTGTTGCGACTGGACCTCGGACCTCATGATGAGATTCCTGATCACTACGAGCAGTATGCTAATGTGGATTTCACAATGCCAGCATGTACTGTGTCTAAGGCCCAAGTTCGATCCATCTCTGTGGCAAATCCCAACCCACCAGAGAAGTGGGTCCGCTACATAGCCAAATACGAATACAAGGTTGAGATTGAACACCTTAATGAAACCGAGTCGGAGAAGGAGAGTGATTAGATGTGTCAGTTGGAGATCAACCATGGAGCCCTTGGGACAGTGAAATGGGATGAAATTGCACATATCTCAGCCATTTGTAACATTCCTTTCCTAGTGATACGCAAGACATACCCACCGAACTGGCTATGCCATGTTTCCACGTGTCATATTGCCAACCAATGTATAATGTCAGTTATACACTACCTGGAATATCACTAATCCTGATAATTAGCATCTGTCCTTGAGTTGTGAATCATAGGATTTCAGAATAAATATTGTGGTATTTGTGTCCAAGAAGAAGATTTAGATGAAACATACCATCATCAGAGTCCTAGAGTTTGTTTTCTACGCAGTGATTAACAAGGCAGTGTTTGTGCTTGATGTCAGCGGAGAATTAGGAAGGTTTTCTCTCTACTTCACCTCCTGTTGCTTAATGGATTGTATGATAAGTGTGGATTAAGTAATTCTTTCTTTCTGTGATAGTTATTTACAACTGAAATTGCCTTTAGACTCACTGTAACACAAACTTGTCTGTAGAGATAGATATCAAATTGTGAGCATAAATGTTTTACATGTAAGTTTAGAATATCTATTCTGCACTTAAACATGAATTTGAAACATTCATTGATGTACAAATATGTTTATGACATTAGAAAATTAGGTCCTTCCCTGTGAGTGTTACAGTTCCTAAATATTGATTTTACAGTGGGCTGCTTGGTGCATGGTCTGAAGAGTCATCTCCCTTGAACTGTGCAGCCATATGCATAACTACACTAAGTATTTGCAGTGCTGGAGAGCAGATGGTATTTGTTGATTTTGTCATCGATAATGTTTCTTTTTCTTGTCATAAACAACATGACTTGACGTTAAATGTACAATACATATTACTGTTAATGTTTGAATCAGATAAGACAATGCCATTAGACAAGTGAGTAATTTGAGGCCTTCTGTAGAATATGGTTTATATATACAGTAGACAAACTAGCATCAGATTCATGGAAGTAGACATTGCAAGTAGATACACCTATCCTGTACTATATTGTAAAAGGTAGATAACTCATTGAACATATGCATGTGTGCATTAAACACTGCATAAGACTTGTTGCAATTTGATTAATTATGTGATATGTAGAAAAGTGGATTTGGACAAAATTTGTAACATGTGTGTATATATGTAGATACGTATACAAGGTACTGTAGTTGGTCAATAGATCTTTGTTACAGTTTAAGGATTTGTATCATTGCACTGGATGACAAACAAACTTTGTGATGTCAGTGTGTCAAGAAAAGTTCTGAAAATAATGGCTGTAAAAACAGTGAAGTTGGAATCCTGACTAGAATCTACAGTGTTTCTGTAACAAATATGACTCTGTGTAAGTTTGAATATATTTTACTCCTTCCCAAAATGCATAATTCATAATCATCTTCCTTAAGTGGCATTTCTTCCTTAAGTAGCATTTGCTTGATAACGGTGTCAGGATCTACACCGAAACGTCGCAACTACTACTGCAACTAAGAAGTTGTCTATCCATAAAAGCGTTCCACTTCATCATATTCATCTGACAAAGAAAATGATAATTTGTTTTTGTAATGATAATATAACTAAGATGTAAATAATAACAGAATAACTGTCAGTTATACAATATGGATTGTTCAAGACGTATTCAGTACATAATGAAAAGATGAAATTGACATTGCAGACTTTTGTAAAGACTTCAGTATAGCTATGTAAGGCTTTGAAAAATTGTAATGGAGACTTGAGGAGGATTATTTGAAATTTGATACAATAGTCTAAAAAATGATGCCTGATGCAATTCCTTAGTTTGACTTTATATGCCGATGTGTGTTCATATGGACACTTGACTTAGCTGTGTTTTTGCCACCTGTTGGGTAGAATATCCTCAGCTTCTCACAAACACTTAGCATCATCACTATTGATATATGTTAATGATATGAATACAATTGCGCAATCAACTGATAATTCTTAGGATGATGGAAAAGGTTTTATTGCTTTTATCATAATAACTCAGGAATTACAATTTTCAGAACTTTTCTTAATATTTGATACCTAAGAATAGATGACTTTACCCCAAAGTCAGCAGAATAGAATATACAATTGTGAAGTTAACATAACTTGTACAAATGTATCGTGTACAATGCACAGTCCAGAGTTTGTACTTACAGCACAGTTCCACACTTTTTATTATAGTTTCTGTCTGTGAATAGGAAGACCCTGGCGAGACAAGAATATACAATGATTTTAAATTGATGCAGAAGACACTAGAAAGATGTAGTTTGTTGTTTTTATGTTGTTTGGCTTATTTCGTTATCTGCCATTGCTGATCAGCTGTAATCATGATGTAGTTCGGTATGTTTTTTCAGTTAATTTTGTTGTCATTTTAAAAGTATTTTTAATGTATACCGGTTTGTTTGCTGAGATTTTTCTTACACTGGTGCAGTGATCTGATATTTTAGGCAAAATGACATTCCATTAACAAAATACATCTAACAACTGAGGCAATAGTGTGTGTGCTAAACTTCATCATCTTTCTGACTGGATATATTTACTTGTTAGCTTTGAGGCTGGAGCTTTTACCATTTACGCAGATTTCCAGTTGATTATTGTCCTCAAGGTTTTTGGTATTTTTGGTTTTCCCTAATGTGAAATTGTTGCAGAGTTTCTGAAACTGACCACTGCACTCTACCATCTGACTCAACTAGAATCAAGAAAAAGACAGCATTATTTGTATGTTACATTTATTGTTTCTTTCTGTGTTGAAAGTAGCCGAATACCCGGGTTCGATTCCCCACATGGGTACAATATGTGAAGCCTATTTCTGGTGTCCCCTGCCGTGATATTGCTGGAATATTGTTAAAAGTGGTATAAAATTATAGTTATTCACTCACTGTTTAAACTATGATATAAAAGCATCAGAAACTATAGTAGCCATAGCCATTAAAAGTAGGTACATCAAACAGACCTGTAATCTACAATATATGTAAACGAGGACAAAGCTGGCAAATTACTTACTGTTTCTAACACAGAAACACAACATTGTCAATGAGAAAATGTTATTTATAAATTGCTCCATGCAATGACAAGACATATAATAACAATAAATGGCATGTAACATAATATCTCAATCCTATTCAGTATTTCATTTATAGAGTATTATTTATCATATTATTTATCATATATCAACCAATTTGTTATGTTATCCAATGTGTATGGTGTTATAGTCATTCTCATATTCTACTTGCATTATTATCTCTGGAATAGCTTGCTTCAAAGTATCCACATGCACAGGAAGTTAATGAGGCTTGTTTGAGTCACCAAATGAGGAACATCTCAGGGCCTTGATCCCAGGGCCTGTTACAGTATACTACACAGTTAATCAGCCTGGGTCTTGGAACCAGAGGATACATACTCACATGGCCGGACTGGGCAATATATTTGAAAGAGCATGAACAGACTGAGAGATGAGGAATAGCTGGAAAAGGACGATTTCATGCAGTTGCATTCTAACTATCTCTTTTTCAATTATATTTAATAAATCCTGTGTGTTTAATCCATCAAATATGGCAGCTGAGATACAAAAATCATTTTCCATTGAAAATGTTTGGTAAATCAAATTATCGTTTATTGTACTTTCCAGGCATTGGCTGAATAGAAAATGTGAAAAAGATTAAATCAGACAAATCTTGAATGTATTTTTCTGTTACAGTATATCGATTACAGGACTGATATTAATGAATGTACAGATACACGTTTTTTAATTGAAACTCTAATGCTTCGTTATGATATCTAAAACATCTTGCAGAATGCAAGAATATCTCTTTTTTCTTTAACACTTTTGTGCATGGCAGTTCAGTTGTTGCAATATTTGTTGGAACATGTTATTTGTGCTTTTGTCATCCATTTGTAATCTTACTAACACCATCTAGGGAATTCTAGAAAATGTATCCAAACTAAATTTAAAGATATATTATTGATCTCAGGGTTCTACACTTCACACAAGACACCATAATTGGTCAAGACTGCAGCCTAATTCTACTAACTATCTCAGTATATAGTCTGATGTATTAACTACCGTTCGTCGTAAGATGATATTCTATGGATATGCTTGCCAGTTGCTACTGTTACTCTTTATACTTGAATCATATCAATCTCATTTTGTATTTTTATAATTGTTTTGTGCTTTACCCTGGTTTACACAGATTTGTCTTTACAATGCCTTTACCATGTATGATTCTGATCTGCTTCTTTCTATCCCAGATACTCAGACTTTATGTTATGGTATTTTACTTACATCTGTGATAAGCCTTCTGTTGTTACTTGTTTTTTTAGCATGCAATTGTTTTAGATTTGTCCGTAGTGCAGAGAAGCTTCCTGAGCAGCCTTGTGTTTTACATGTGGTTTGAGAGTGTAGTTCTCACCTGTTACTAAATCTCAGCTAACGCGTTTTGTCCAATAACGATTGTCGTTTGATTTTGTGCAATATAATAACTTCAAATGAATACTGAAGATGGGAATGTGTAATGAAGTTACTTTCAAACATACTGATGTATGTGTTGAGATAGAGAACGTTTAGAAACACGGTCACATATAGGAATACGAGCACTGTTCGTTTCTATCTTGCTCACATCATCAGAAGTGTTCTGTTAAAGTATGTGTAATATTTTAAGACAAATTAAGAATTTATGGCAGTATTAGTGTTTTTTCTTTACTGTTTATTTTTATTGTTTAAGAATATGTTTGAATCTTATCAGGACATGCTGACTGTTGAACTAGCTCAACTTATCTGCATACAAGAAGCAGGTTTTTAGTCTGGTTGGCTTGTATTGGACCTAAACCTGACTGTTGAACTAGCTCAACTTATCTGCATACAAGAAGCAGGTCTTAGTCTGGTTGGCTTGTATTGGACCTAAACCTGACTGTTGAACTAGCTCAACTTATCTGCATACAAGAAGCAGGTCTTAGTCTGGTTGGCTTGTATTGGACCTAAACCTGACTGTTGAACTAGCTCAACTTATCTGCATACAAGAAACAGGTTTTAGTCTGGTTGGCTTGTATTGGACCTAAACCTGACTGTTGAACTAGCCCAACTTATCTGCATACAACAAGCAGGTCTTAGTCTGGTTGGCTTGTATTGAACCTACCGGTATACCTGAAACATTGTAACAACTGGAAGAGATGAAGTTACACATTTCCTTTGAAATCACCCTTGTTAAAGTTTCTTGTGTACTTAACATGTCATGATTTATGAGAAAAAACATACTTGGTGTGGTTTTGAAAGATATTTCAAACATTTTCAATATGACAAGCTGGAGATGTACAATAGATGTAGCTCATTGTGCAGGTAGAGCTGTGCACACAATGGAGAACTTTTACCTGGATGTGGATGACTTCGACAGTTGGACACATGATAGATACTGTATGCTGACTTTACAGGGAATGTTGAACAAGTAGTAAGATAGTAGAATGATTGTTGTGGTTTTACAGAATAATTCATATACCAGATCACTTGTGCAATATGTTTAAATGGATGGGGCATTGGGTCAGCTGCATGGCCATGTTGTACACAAGAACATTGATTAACACTGTACACAAGAACACTGAGTAAAACACTGTACACAAGAACATTGATTTAACACTGTACACAAGAACACTGAGTAAAACACTGTACACAAGAACACTGAGTACACAAAAACTGAGTAAAACTGTACACAAGAACACTGAGTAAAACACTGTACACAAGAACACTGAGTAAAACACTGTACACAAGAACACTGAGTAAAACACTGTACACAAGAACACTGAGTAAAACACTGTACACAAGAACACTGAGTAAAACACTGTACACAAGAACATTGATTTAACACTGTACACAAGAACATTGAGTAACACTACTCAAGAACAATTAAATATACTGTACACAAGAAGATTCACTTTATGTCTTTCAGTGGATGTTTTTCTGACTGTATTTGTGTCGGTGAAGACTGAAATTAGAATGAGGTATTTACCTAGGTCTTCAATGAAAAGAAGAGCTGCATTCATTTAATAGTGAATGTATAAAATGTCCACACCAGAGAATAACCACCCTGGATTATCACCTTAGAATAACTACCCTGGATTATTACCTGAGAAAAATTTACCCTGGATTGTCCAAAAGCAATTCCATTTTGTGTAAAAGTTAATTCAAAACATTTCAATTCAAGTTGTGTGCATTCTTGGGCCAAGCAGCCACACTTGTCAGCCTCACTGCCTCATTAAGTAGTGTATTTTGAAGAAACTGAAACACCCATCCATTACAACATGGCAAGGGAGAATAAAATTGCAAACTAAACACAGTAACAATCAGGTACAGTGTGTAATCAATGGGCTGTTCAACACGACTATGCACTGCCCATGGCCCTTGTATAATGCCAACAGTCTTAGCCTGAGCAGGCTCCTGCCCTGGGCTGCCTCAACAGACAGTGCTCACAGTATTCTAGAGACTCTTGTGTCTGTATGTCTGTACAGCCCTACACTGTAGACACACTGGCAGTAGGACCACGTGATCATATTGATGGTTTATTTAGCATTCCCATGACACATCACATTGTAGCTACTGTACATGTAGTTGTGTAGCTCAGTAAAAATATTCATCAAGTTTTGTCTTTTGTAGTTTCTTTGTTGCCTGCTGATCTTTTGTGTAGAGTGAGTGAGTGAGTGAGTTTAGTTTTACGCCGCTTTTAGCAGTATTCCAGCAATATCACGGAAGGGACACCAGAAATGGGCTTCACACATTGTACCCATGTGGGGAATCGAACCCGGGTTTTCGGCGTGACGAGCGAACGCTTTAACCACTAGGCTACCCCACCGCCCCTTTTGTGTAGAGAATGACATTGGACAACTTGGTTTGGATGAGTGGATTCCTAACAGCACCTTTGTAAAAGCGAAGATTCAGGTAAGATGGATTCTATGAAGCTTTAATGAAGAATGATCAGTTTCATCAGAGGCTTAGACATGGATTGGATAATACTATAACACGGGCAACAAACCACCTCCTGACACAGCTATCAAAGGATTGTTGTCATCCATCATCATCATCATCATCATCATCAACACTGACTGACTGACTAAGTTTGGCTTTACGCCGCTTTTAGCAATATTCCAGCAACATCACGGCGGGGGACACCAGAAATGGGCTTCACACGTTGTACCCATGTGGGGATTCGAACCCGGGTCTTCGGCTTGACGAGCCAACGCTTTAACCACTAGACTACCCCACTGCCCCTCGTCATCAACAACAATAAAAGAGTTATCAACATCATCTATAACATTATTGTTATCATTGTTCAGTTGGAGAACTTATCTTCAGTGATGTTAGCCATAAGGGCTGTTGTTTGGTTCAAATGTTTTTCAATTTAATGATTATCAGGAATAAGTAGACACTCACTGACATGTGTGAGTGTGAGTAGGTAAGATTTTATGCTGCTTCTAGCAATATTCCACCAATATCACTGTTGGGAACACCAGGAATGAGTTTCACACTTTTTACTCCTATTGAGAATCAAACCCATGTCTTTGGTGCAACAAGTGAATGCTTTAAACACTAGGCTAACCAGATAGGTACAAGAACCATAACAAATGGGAGATTGAAAGAGAAAAACTCAGAAACTCAGAAAAAACACTTACACAAAACCTTTCCTCCGAGCTATGTGTGATTGCACTGCATTACATTTGCTATTATTGTCATCTATAGTGAGATCTGCATTGTCATATAAAATCAAGTATGTATCTTTGGAAACAATGTTATTGTTACCAATATTTTGTGAGTAATTTAGCATATCGTTACAATGTTTATCAAACACAATAAAAAGTAAACAATATTTTTTTCCAAGCTTTATTTCCAAGAGAGGAAGTTGTACATTAATTTTATCACAATATTAATAGATGTCAATTTGTAAAACATGTCACATTTGTTGTAAAGTACATTTTGACACATAGTATCATATGGGTCATCAAAATGCCTCTCTCCCAGCAGATCTGCTTCTCTTGGCATATGAATCTTTCACTAATTTAGCCAAATCAAAGAAATATTAACCTCAGTTTCATATATATAGTATATAGATGACCAAATATCTTCAACAGTGAGAAGGTAAATAAGTACTTTCATCACCTCATCTATCTCAAGTCATGTCAAGCAATACCATCTGGTCAGATGATCATGAACTTTGGAGCAGGTTTATTTAATAAAAAATGGAAAGATATTTTTCTTACATCCAAAATCCCTTCTATAAATAAGACTAAGACCTTTGTTATATGCAGAGTCCATTTAATAGGCATTTAGAAGGATTTACTAAGTGTGGCTTGCTAATGTGATATACGATGCTGACCCACACTGTGACCGTTGTGTTTGGGTTTTTTCACACCACCTTACTCAGCCTTACTTTATCGGAAGGGTGGTCAGACATGTTTGAGGCATAATATAACGTGGGTCAATCACTAAAGTGTCTGATCCAGTGTTGTTTTTTGGCCCAGATCATATGGTAGAGTATTGCCAAGTATTGTGTCAGCCAACACACGACCACTATTTTAATGAAACGTGTCAGTGGTAAGTGCTAACAGGATATAACACTCACAATCCTACCTGGTTGTTCTGTAGCCATTAATGATTGTCATATACCTCTATGATATTGTTCATTTGCAGCGGAAAATACGTTTCAAACATACAAAACTTTCCCTCCGAAAATGTGGACTGAGAATACTGTATATTATAGGATTCATCGCATTATTGAGAAAATAAGAATTATTGCACATTTTGTAAATAATAAGCTCAGTGGAACCCATGTCTTCCTGAAACCTCTGACCTGAGAAATGCAGTAGCTCCACAGTCAGGTAAGGGACGTAACCAATGATTCCTGAAAATGTAATAACACTCAGCATCATAGTTGTATGTCCAGGGCGCAGGTGGATTTTACCAATGCTACTCCGAGTTTTGTCGATCGGCGTCTTCATGCTGCTCAATGCTCTTGCTATCAACATCTGCTCAAACTTCTTTCTCTTCATTGGACTAACAGGCATAGTTGGCAATTTGTCAGAAACACGAGCACCAATGGTTCCACAGCTACGCTTACAGACTGTTAAAGCTATGAGACCATAGAATACTACAAATGTAATGAAACAGATGCCAAACAACAAACTTAAACATCCTTGAAACAACAGTGAATAGATTGAATGATACATCATGTCTGATGTGGAACAATCAACTCCGGTCACGCCATCAATACGAGTACGCACGGTTCTGTTTCCACTCAGAACCACCATAGGCCAGGCGATAGACACAGCCAACGCGCACATAACTGTTGCCAGAGATTTAGACTGTTCCAGGGAGGGCATCTCCAGAGGATAGCGGGTATTGCGAAAACGGTCACTAGCAATACAGACAAGTATTAATCCAGAAAAGGTGTTCGTAAATGCTTCAATAAATCGGAATATTTTACAAGGGATCGGTATTTGGTTAAGAAATGAGTTTACATTGTCGTAAATTTCAAATGGTAGACATACTGAACAGCTCAACAGATCTGTGGCCGCCAATATAATCATAAACAAGATGGCGGCCTTCATCTGGTACCTTCGTCCATAGACGTAAATCGCCAGTATGTTTCCGATGATTCCTGTTACCATGACAACACAAAATACTGCAATTACAGGTAGAAGAAGTAACCGCCTTTCTGCATTTAGTTGTTCAAGTGTTGCCGACCTGTTTGCATCTGACATGTTTCTACTTGCCACAGTGCACATGCTGACCTGGAGAGTATGCGATTCCTGAATGAAGCTTGTTTGTAATCCACATGAAAAGCTTTCACGCACGTGTCTGATCAAATGGGCTCTATCTTCATTTCACAACGGTTGTAGTGGGCTCAGTATACATATGTCTGGGATTACAACTGTGTCACTTCGTACACATAAGGCTCCATCTTTAACTCTTCGCCTCTTGTAACATCGTCCTGAACGCATGCAGGTAATGCCTGGGAGTATCCCAATGTCGCGTCTTGTACAACCGACTTCTTTCTGACGTCTTCAGCATGCAGTGTACCATCTCTCACAGATGTATACTTTATACAAGTAAGTTGCCTTAATCCCAATGTCCCGTTTGGAAATCTGGAGATGAATAAAGCATTACAGAACAGGAAATCTGACTCCCATGTATCCGCTTGGACATCTCTGACTCACAAATTGCAACAATTATGCTCCAAATTGAGAAGAAATCTTTACATACCACGTTAAACGGCGTTTAAGCCAATAATATTAAAATTTACAGTTTACGGCCTTCTGACATTAAGCCGTCATCACGGGAGGGAACAGGAGAAGGCTGGTGTTGGGTATCAGTCGTCAGACGCAAACATTTTGTAGTTTTGACGTGAAATGAAACTCAGATTCAGGTATGACTTTGGGTTTTGAATAACCACGCATGACAACCATTGATACTTGGTGTTGTTTGACGGAAGTAGTAAGAAAATAAATTGTTTATGCTGCTCATAATGGTGATACAATATAGGAGACCAAAAAATTAAGAAAAGAAAATCCGTAGAATCAAATGATAAATACGCTGAATTCATGTATCCTCTGTGCTTCATGTCTTGTATGTAATTGCGTGTTAACATACAGTGGTTGCAAAATGTAAAGGTCGTGGAGCGTTGCCGTGTTAGCGAAACCACTACGGCTGGATATTGCCCTGATTATCATATTGCGATATATTGCAATAATTCAAGAGATATTGCAATACATATAGTGATATATTGACTGGAAGGTTTCTGTCCAAGTGTGTACATCATAAATTCATAATAGCTCTCTGTGTGCGACATCATCTTCTTAGTTGCTGTTACAACATATGTTCAGGCTTCCTGTCCCCACTGTGTATGGGTGTATGCCAGTGGTTTACAGATAAATGATATAGAGCCTTAATGTGGAATTTTTCATTGCAGTAACTGTATTGCAACAAAGTTTGCGAACATAATGATAAAGGTAATACTATAACATGATTTTCACGGTCAGTGTTTGCTTCAACAGAATGCACTTCAATGCAGTATGTAATTATTGTTACTGTTTGTCAGTGATTCATTCAGATTCAGCTCCAATATAAACATGTGTTAACATGAACTGTTGTAAAATGAAACAAACACATGATTTAGATTAAAATATCATGTGACCTCCAATAACTAAGACCCTTCACTAGTATGTCATTGTACAGTCCTACAAAATTTATAAGACTTTGGCCTTTATCATAAATTGATAACATATGTCCCATTATGAAACAAAACAAAAATAACAAAATAATGTGAATTGTGAAATCGCGAGATACTTTACCGGTATATACCGGTTTACCGGTAATATTGCACAGCCCTAGAAACCAAAACTAGCGCGTAGGTGGTGCTGATAAATGAAAAAATAATGAAATGTGAATCTGGGAGACAAGCTGTGATCCTGTCCAACGGATGCACAGCACAGCACAACAAAACACCCCACAGCATTAAGACAGGATGTCATCAATGTCTTAATAATCATTTCATGTTTTAAACGCCTTCCAAGACTTTTTCTAAGCATCGTCTCAGGGAACTTTTCATTTTCATACGTAGGCTGTATATTATTTTTTCTACCATCAAATATATAAAGCGTCTGCATCAGACAATAAGCAGTTTCTATTTGGCGCAAAAGACAAGATGGTGATGAGTTGTAGAGTGAGTGAAGAGTTGTATGTGCCACTGATGACGTCATCAAGATGACACCAGTGGCCGTATGTATATGTTGGGCGTAGCTGACGTCAGGCGTAACATACTACGTCGGGCTTAGCCTGCTGGGTAGGTGGCGTAAAATGAGCACTAGACTGGCGCTACGACTGGCGTAACGGTTTAACTACGTCCTAATATGGAGCTATATAAGGGTTGTAGATTATCCCTGGTCCGGGCGCACATTTTACTTACGCCCGGACTAGATTTTACGCCCGACATATGCATACGGCCACAGGTGTTGGGCGAAAACTGTAAGTATGTCCTCCCCTGACAGGAACGCCCCTGCCCACACATGGCCTGGTTTAGTCATACAAGTATGTTGATGTTTTGCATTCAGCAGAATGAAATAAATACAAGTCGCTTGTTGACATGATACATAATGCTATCCCATGACATCCTACTACTATAAACGGCATTTGAATGTTTGTTTATGAACAGTGTGTGCGTGTAGGGTGCTTCCAGTAGAACAGGATATGCTCACCACTCATAATACTTTACATCACTGTTTTGCCTCTTATCTACGACAGAATATAAAGACTGTCTGTTCGCTGGCGTTGGCGTTGACATTGACATTGGGACTGGCGATTTGAATTCCAAACCAACAACAAACAATTGAAACCAACAGACAAAGAGAAAATCCACATCGTGGCTAGCGTAGCAGTTTGACCCGGGAAATATAAGCATATTTATCTGTAACACCCACATGACACCACATGGCTGTTACACCCCCATGACACCACATGGCTGTTACAACCACATGACTCCACCATGGCTGTTACACCCACATGACAACACCTTTGCTGTTACACCCACATGACACCACATGGCTGTTACAACCACATGACTCCACCATGGCTGTTACACCCACATGACACAACCTTTGCTGTTACACCCACATGACACCACATTGCCGTTACACCCACATGACACCACATTGCCGTTACAACCACATGACACCACATGGCTGTTACATCCCCATGACACCACGTGGCTGTTACAACCACATGACTCCACCATGGCTGTTACACCCACATGACACCACATTGCTGTTACAACCACAATTTACAATAGAACCACTGTTTCGACTTTTTAACAGCGGGCTGTAAAGTAAGGGCCAAAAACTTTATTCATGTGAATTTAGAACACTACCGCCATGTTTCGACTTTATGACGGCAGACTGTAAAGGGCCAATGAATCATTTAAATTGCATGTTAACATCCAGTTACGCTCAATCAGCCAAGTCACCGAACCAGATGATCCTGGTCCAGTATAGTTGTGATTTTGACCTCTACCCCAGGTTTTACAGTCAGCTTGTTAATCACCTCCATCCCCTGGAGATTAACCGACACTTCAACCTGAACCTTGTCACATGTTAAGTGTAAAATATCACAACCGTCTAGATCCATGATTTCTGTCTGCATGACCGCAGGCCTGCAAATCAAGGTCGCTGCTATCTACTTCAAGGTGTCCTTCATGACCAGTCAGGGGATCCATAATGAAATCATCCTGTTGCTACTCCTCTATTAAACATCTGTATACAATTATGTCGTTAAAATTCCCCCTGGATTATGGTTGCCTTATTCCTGAGGATTCCACAGACACATACAGAATGGAAATGACAATTTTAACTAAGTCATAGCTATCCCTAGTGGTATGCTTAAAGAGTTCTGCAGTTATCTCCCTTAGCTGTGACGTCACAACATAATTGTTGAAAACCTCTCATAATTTATTTGTATGGACAACACAGAGGATCCATCATGAAATCATCCTGTAAATAATCCTCGAGTAAACAACTGTATACTCCGCATCGTTACTGAGAGTCACGCAGATAATACGAAACATTAGACATACTTCGCATTTTCAATTTCCAGACTGCAGTTCAGTTGCGTCTGGACAACATTGCTTGCATCCTGGTTCCCGAGCCTCTCATTGGTTTGTATAGAGAACCAATGAGAGGCCCGGGGGCAGGATGCATTGCTTGTTACTTGCCATGTATTGCACGTGCATGGGCTGAACCGCTGGTTGAGTCCATGCACAGGCAAGCTGTAGCGCAAATAGGGTTGCGCAACAGGGAGAAAAATTACCAGTCTTCGCTCGCAGGTAGGAAGACTGGCCATGTTTCTCTCTGTTGCGCGACCCTTTTTGCGCTACAGCTTGTCTGTGGTTCATGGTACCCATTTCCACCACCTTCAATGAAGCACTAGCATTTTCACCTTCATCGTTTTTAATAGTCGTTCATTTTACAAATTAAAAAGTCATCCAATCAGTGTGACAAATGAATAATTACATATTCTTCAGCTGTTTATAACGCATGAACTCTTGTTGTCCTATGTTCGTGACTGCTACACTACAACCCAGGCGACCTTGCAATGATAGCTATATCAATGTTTGACCCTACGTCGATGATCAAATATATCGCGTAACGTCATATATTAACCATGTAAAGCTGCATCATTCATCTTTCAATTAGCCATGTCAATCCATCTTTATCCACGACACTAATGAGACCAAGGGTTAAGAGTACATACAGAGTGTGCTATTTTTTTAATAAACTGCAACTTTGATTATTTTTTTTCATAATTAGAGTAAGCTTCGACCTTTAACTTTCCCTCTCTCAGACATATAAATGCTTATTATTATGTTATTATGGAAGCGTATTAGTGCAAAAGTCTAAACAATTTTTATCATCTGTACATGTAGATGATACTTTGAAGATACCGACTCCAAAAAGTATGGTTACAAATGTCGATAATTCGATTATACCTCCTCCTAAGCAGATTATAATATCGTGTACGTTAATACAAGTATCATACACATAGAAGCAATGTATCATCTAAGTCAATGAACGTGAAGAATATAGTACGAGAGGAAACGAAACAGCTTTAGTCGGTTACCCCCCTTTGAATACACAATGCCATTTAGAAAGTGGTCAAATGTAAGATATGTTATATTTGGAATTACACTTTCTTAGTGAAGTACAAATTCTAGTACTTTTATGAGGGATTGAGTCCCATCCGGGATTCAAACCCACACCCTCAGAGTCAGGCACCTAATCACCAGCACACAAAATCAAACGCCTATAACCCGCAGCGTTGCAGCTTCTAATTGTATTTTGAACCACTCTGCGTTTATACCTTCATTGCTCATACACAATGGCAACACATAAACTGTTTGGTGATTCGTTCAGTAACGTTGTTTATCATCACAATTTAGCCTTATCGGTGGATACTCGTTATTTCCTCGCGTTTATCTTAATGAAGAAATTCAAACGGACCCTACAGTTGCAGACAGGAATACCACTAAACTGTGCCAATTGCATTAGGAGATACTCATATCAAGTGTTGACTATGTGGGGGTTGAATTACTGCATATACATATGTATATATGTTTTCTTTAGTTTCCATGGTTACATGTTTTGAATTTCTTATCATTTGACAATAGCACCATTTTTATATCTATATGGGGGAGAAGTTCAAAGTTTGACGTTGGAGAAGAAACGTAATCCATTAAGATTTCCGACAAAG